CCAGAAGAGTCAGGATCAGCTGTTCCTCTGCTTGCTCATCACCTTTCTCTCCTGCATGACAATAATGCTTCTTAGAGGACAGCACTTGCGAGAACAGGTACAGCTCGGATCTTAACTCTGCTCTCCGAGCTCAGAGCATTCCTCAGGCAGGGGTGGCCTCAGAACTATGTGTTGGTCTCCAGGACACATCACGGCCCGTCCTTATACTCCGTGACACCTGCCGATCCCTGCTTAAAAGCCTCCTACATTAACTTTAAATGCAGTTAAATCTTTTGAAATGAGCAATTTTCTCCAAAGGTCACTGTAATGCTCAGAGTTCTATGCTGCCAGGAGACACTTTAAAGGCAATGAGGCAGTCCCAGAGTGGGGAGGGAGGGAAGTGGGGAGAAATGAGAAGAAAGGACTTTGGACCCCAACCCCTGCAACACCCCCACCTGAGACTCCTTCCACTAGATGAACATTCTGCACAGACAAAGCCAGGGGTTGTCAAGCCAGAAGTTCAGAGAGGTGGCATAACTTGTCTGTGGATGCAAAGCCAGCCAGGGTCAGAGCTGAGGCCTAAACCCCCTCGCTCCTATCCCAACGTTCTTTAAATATTAACTTTCAAAACACATCAGTACTGCTCCTTAATTATGGAAGGTGATTATTGATACACAGTCAGCCCATGTCCAGGCTGTTGCCTCTGCTTGGAATTCCCTCTCCCCAACACCGCCTCCAACATTTCTCTCTGGCAAGCTTCTATTCATACTCTAAAGCCCAACTGACATGTCACCTGCTCCTGGATTTCTCTCTCCCCCCACCCCCTCAACTTAACAGACTGAATTACTCGTTTTATGGGTCTCCACGCCCTTCACATGTCTCTGCTGAGCACATGACAACTTACATGTCTATTTCTTTCCCCGGGCCATGGGCTCCTTCCAAGAGGGGAATTACACCAACGTCTAGCATAGTGTGTGGCTCAATTGACATTGCTAATTGGGGATCAGTTGCCCATGACCATGAATGTGTGGAGGGAGGGAATAGGTGAAGAAGGGGCCTCAGGACTCAAGGTCAACTTGCTAGAAATATGGCTCCTGCTGGAGATGGTAACCAGGGTATGTGGCTTTCTCTCCAGATAGATTTGTGTCTATGAAGACCCCAAGTGCTATCCATGGGGGCAGAACAGATCCAAGGAAGGGGCATGTTCCACAGGAGGTATCGGGCAACCTGAAGGGACCCCCTACTTCACTGTCCTCTGTTGGGACCGGGTTGAGGCAAAAGCAGCTCCTGGCCTGAGCTAAGCCCCTGACCCTGGCCTGGCCAATATGGGAGGTCAGGCAAGCCTGCTCCACTCCCCCTTCTTTCCCCAGATGGGCAATCAATTTCTTGCACAGCCCAAGTAAGTGTTGAGGTGGCCCTGCCTCTTTGATAACTGGTGCAGCCCAGCTCCTAAAGCAAGAAACCTGGGTCAAAACTCAGGCTTGGGATTTGGGTTTGCGATAGGGTTTCAGCAAAGTTTGAGAAATCAGGTTAGGGTGAGATTTGAGAGGCTGGGTGCCGCGACTTGCAGGGAGCTTTCAGATTGGTGAAGAAGAAAGGTCCCTGCCCTAAGTGAGCTCAAGGGGAAAAACACATGAGCGCAGGCCGTTAGGGCCCACTGGGACACAGGGCTGAACTAGGACCAGAGAGGAATGGGTAGAGGAGGAGAAACAGAGGATGGGGAGAGAGGAGGAGGTGACTGGTGATGCTCTGGCCTCCCTGCTGTAGCTGGATGTGAGCCCAGCAATGCGAATTCTCTCTCTAGAAGCTCCTGGAGACACTCAGTTGTATTGCTCTGTGTGTGTCCCTGTATGTGTGTTTCTGTTTGGCAGAAGTGGGGGAGGTAGGATGGAAATGGGACAGGACATTCAGAGATGAGCGACTAATTTCCTGTTAATGGCTGGTTGCTTGGCAACTCAGCTTCTCTCTGCCTGTTGCCCTCAAAATTGGACTGCAGGAATTTTTAGTGTTAAAGCGCCTCCCATGGAAACTCAATTCTGTGAGAGGTGGGCCCTGTCGTCATTGCCCTGCCCTGCCCTATCCCACTAGGTAGCAGAACAGGGCACAGGACACAAAAAAACCAAAGCCACAGGTACACACAGCCGGCCACAGCCTCTCCTTCTGTCTTTTGTGCCATCCTCTTCATGAACAATCACACATACATGTGTGCTTACCCCCACATGTGTTGATAGGAGCATATGTATACCTACACAAACACACTAATCTGTGGCCCACACACATGTAACAATAGTAAGCTGAGTGCCTACCATATGACAAATACTTTACCCTCTCAAAGATGCCTTTCCTGGTCACCCTGTCATTGGTAGCACTCTGATCATGCATCCTAATTGGTTTTCTTCACTTAATATTTGCTTGTTTGTTGGTTTGGATATGGTGTTTCTCTCTGATATGGTTTGGATCTGTGTTCCCACCAAATTTCATGTTGAATTGTAATCCCCAGTGTTGGAGGTGGGGCCTGGTGGGGGGTGATTGGATCATGGGGGCAGAGTTCTCATTAACAGTTTAGCACCATCCCTTGGTGCTGTCATGGAGATAGTGAGTGAGTTCCTGCGAGGTCTGATTGTTTAAAAGTGTGTAGCACCTCCCTACTCGCTTGCTCCTGCTCCTGCAGTGTGAGATGCCTGTTCCCCACTCACCTTCCCCCGTGATTGCAAGGTTCCTGAAGTCTCCCCAGAAGGCGAGCAGATACCGGCACCATGCTTCCTGTACAGTCTGCAGAACCGTGAGCCAGTTAAACCTCTTCTCTTTATAAATTACCCAGTCTCAGGTATTCTTTTATAGCAATGCAAGAATGGCCTGATATCCTCTCCCATGAGAATATTAACTCCATGAAGACAGAGATTTTGTCTGTTTTGGTGCATTGCTGAATCCTCAGCATGTAAAACAGCACATGGTAGACATTTTAATAAATAATTAACTGACAAACAGAATGAGTAACTACACGTGCAAATGTATCTGCATTTTTTCATCCACATGCATATACATATATATACATATATATATATATATATATATATAATTCCATGCAGACATCACACACACACACACACACACACACACACACACACACACACACACAAAGATTTTTGCATGAGTGGAAATTCTAATACACTGTGTCGAGACTTCTTAGAATTACACAAACTAGAAAGGCAATGCCAGAGTCTCGTTCCTAGCAGACGTCAGTCTGCATAACAAAGCATGTGGGGTATGGCAATGAAATTTAATGTTCAAATTGCATAATAAAATATTTATATATATATATGCCTTTTATACTCCCTATATAATAAAAGTAACAGTATTTTCATGGATGCTTTTCTTATTCAGTGTGTAGCTCCCTCCCACTTCTGGTTTTACATGAGGCTCTTTTAATAATACTCTGGGGAAACACCCAGCAAGAGAGGGATGGGCAATTTATTCCTAAGTGGTTTATAACACTAAGTAACTAATGTCAACCCTCATGGGCTACTCCCCATCTCCCCCTCCTTGGGGATGGGAGGAAGCATGGGCTGGGCTAGAGCAGTCAAAACAGTTGAACAAAACATGCTCGTAGCACATAAATCATCTTCATCTCCCCCTCCCTTTCTTATTTATGCTACATAATAGAGTGATTCGTTCATATTAGCTAACAGCAAAAGAGAACCAGGTAGAAAGGGAAAGTTTCTTATAGGTACAACTTTTCTGTTTCATGGGTAAATATTGGCATTGTGTAAGCAATAATTTATTTCAAATGCTCATTAACAGCTGTTAAACTTTATTATTTATTAATAAGCTAATAATTTATTTAATTTTAAAAAATTAAATATAGAACTACTAATAGATTAAATTTAAATAATTAAGCCTAATATAAGTGGAGAGGGACTCCGGTAGAGAACTGTGTTCTGCAAAGTGTTTTGTGTAAGACATAAGAATCCTGTGTATGGAAAGACTTCCAGCTGTACATGAAATATACACTTATGTATTCATGAATGAGAATCTGGGCAGCAGTAGACACAACAAGCAGAGATAAGGTTATTCTGATTCCACTTAGAGAGTGACTTCAAACCCTGTGGATCAATGCTTGCATGTTGAACAAAACATGCTCGTAGCACATTTGCACATATGGCTACCCCCAGTGAGGGAAGCCTAGGGCAGTTCACACACAGAAAATGAGAGAGAGAGAGAGAGAGAGAGGGAGAGAGAGAGAGAGGGAGAGAGAGAGAGAGAGGGAGAGAGAAGCGACCTTCATCATGGGATGACAGTCCTGCCTGCAGGTCTAACCCTCCCACAGCTGACACTAACCCCTGGGATTTAAGATATTAACTTCTCAGAGCTGACCTTTTTGCACTTGACCCTTGCCTGCTACACCTGTGGAGCCAGTCAATTCCACAAAGAGTTTTAGAGCAATCTCGGCCATTCTGATGACAGCTCCTGATACCAGTCATCTTAGTCTATTCAAGCTACTATGACAAAATACCTTAGGCTGGGTGATTAATAAACAACAACAAATTCATTTCTTACAGTTCTGGAGGCTGGGAAGTCCAAGAGCAAGGAGCTGGCAGATTTGGTGTCTGGTGAGGGTTTGCTGCTTGGTTCATAGACAGTGCCTTTTGGCTGTGCCCTTACATGGTAGAAGAGGCGAGGGAGTTCTCTGGGGTCTCTTTTATAAGAGCACTTACCAGCCAGGCATGGTGGCTCACTCCTGTAATCCCAAGACTGTGGGAGGCTGAGGCAGGTGAATCACCTGTTGTTAGGAGTTCGAGACCAGCCTGGTCAATGTGGTGGAACACTGTCTCTACTAAAAAATGCACAAATTAGCTGGGCATGGCGGTGGGTGCCTGTAATCCCAGCTACTCAGGAAGCTGAGGTAGGAGAATTGCTTGAACCCAGGAGATGGAGGTTGCAGTGAGCCGAGATCATGCCACTGCACTCCAGCCTGGGTGACAGAGTGAGACTCTGTCAAAAAAAAAAAAAAAAAAAGGACTGATCCCGTTCATAAGAGCTCTACCTCCATGACCTAATGCTTCCCAAAGACCTCACCATCACCTTGGGGGATAGCATTTGAACACATGAATTTGGGGTGTGGGACACAAACATTGAGGCCATAGCACCAGTCTTCTCATATTTCCATGTGCACACAAATTACTTGGGGATCTTGTTAAAATGCATGTTCAGATTAGCAAGGCTGAGATGGGTCTGGGTCTGCATTTCTGACAAACGGATGCTGTTAGAGATGACCCAGGGCCTTACTTAGTTATAACAGAAGGGCCTTAGGCTATAGAAGCCCTTTCTTTTCCCTGGAGTTTCCACTCTCCCCATACACGTTTTCCAACCCCAGGCCCTCTTGCAGCTCTAGCCATTGGGCTTGGAGCTCACCTGGCTGGTTGTGGTGGAATGAGCTGAAGTGTCTCAATGTCAGTTGATGCTGAGTGCCAGAGCCTCTACCAACAGCTGAATGTAGAGCTGGGCAAGCTGGGTGGAATCCTGCCCCATGGAACACACATGATCTTATGGAAGAAACCATGGACCAACCTCCATATGATTCATGTTCAGGAAGAAGACATGCAGGGGTCTGGGGGTTAACACTTTAATATTCCCAGCATCATGCTAGGTACTCATCAGGGGCTCACTAAATAGTTACAGAAGATAGAACATTATTAAAACACATATTCTAGAGCCAGAATACCCAGGTTCAAACCCTCTAATTCCCAGCTATGTGACATCGAGCCGCTTTCTTAACATCTCTGGGTGGCCATGTCTTCATCTGTCAATCTGGGAAAATATTCACCTCATAGGTTGACAAACTTTGAATGAGATACTATGTTAAATATATATGTGTGTGTCTAGAAACTGCTTAGCACAGAAATTCAGTGGTACCTACTATTATTAATTATTATAGCCTATCTGGTGAGTGGGATCAAACTGTCTTCACATCTAAACAGTTCTCTATGAGCTTCACCCATCCCTGACTCTAAAATCCAATCATCATTTTCACAAGAAGATAAACCAAGACAGTGCGGAAAACCTTTCATTACCTGGTTCTCCTTCGCTGTAAGCCTTAGCAGTTGACTAGCTCAGCCCATCTTCAGTGCAATCAACACAGCAGCCATAGTCCTGAATTCCTGAATGAGTACAATATGCTTCCTTGAATCTCTAAGAGACATTAAATTGCATCTGACAAGGTTTTGATGTTTTCTAAGTTTCACTGCATCTTATTTATTTGAAAATGCATTGTATGATACCTATAGTGAGTCTCTCCTAAGCAGCATGAGCAGGGCTGAGGAGTCAGACAGGCCCAAGGCCAAATCCTGGTTTCATCCGTCCCATGAGGGTCACACCTACAGCAGAGGCTGGCATGCTGCTCTCGGGGGTCAGAACCCCTGACTCCTATTCCACATCTACCATTAGCAAAGTGCATGTCTCTGGCAAACTGGCAGACCTTTCTGAGCTTCAGCATCCTGATTTAGGTTGAGTGATTAATGTATCTGCTCCCAGGGTTCTTGAGATTGAAATGAGATCATGGAGGGAAAGTATTTGGTTAGCCAAAGGGGACTGGCATCCAATATGCTGTTATACAGTAGTATTTATTATTAGGACTTACTTCCCCCTCTACTGCCTCCTCCAGTTCAGGACAGCACTGGCCTGGGAGACTTCAGGACCTGGAGGAGGGGAGATGGAGGTGTTACGGGGTGTTACGGGAAAGGGCAATTAAGTAGGCCTTTACTCTGAGCCCTGATGCCTGGAAGCCTTTGCTGCAGATATGAAAAAGCTTCAAGAGGTAGAAAGTGTCAGCCCTTGAGAGGTGTTGATGGGCTAGGACAGAGGCCCTGTTAAATGAGCCCCTTGGGGAATAGCTTTGGGGAGACCCTTTTAATAGGAAATTCGCCATTCCTAGTCCTAGGGCCTACTAGCGGGAGAATGTCAGGGGCCCCGAAAGAGGAAGATTTATTCTGGGTTGAAAATTGCACCCCTCTCTGCTGTGGTATTTCTTTTACATCCCTTGAAATGTGAAAGCCAGATTCAACAAACTCTGTGGCTTCAGGAGGTCAGACATCCAATTTACATATAAATGGAGACCAAGAGCTTCAGAAAGAAAAAAAAAATGTTGGGAAAATTGTCGCTTGAGGATTAAGCCTTGCGGAAAATCCAGAGGAGACATATCCCAGAGGGAGAAGAACTGAAAGGATTCAGGGGCTGACTCCTGTGTGTCTGCCCAAGGGGTCCCTTACATCCAAGTCACTAGAAGGTAAGGGGCCTCCAACACCATTTCCTTCATACCGATAATTGCGACAGGTAACATGGATGTGGAGCCTGTGATACACCAGGCACTGTACTGAGTGCTTCATACCCACCACCCCATGGACTCCTCAAACAATCTGGGAGGGTTGGCATTACACAGGTGAGGAAACCGAATCCCAGAGTAATGTGTCCACCTAGAAAGTGACACAGGTAGCTGGTTGCTCTGAAGCACAGCAATGCTGCCTCCTGGGGCTGGCCTAGCTTGGCTGTGGATTCCAGGGGAGCCCTAGGCTGGGGCCCTGAGGAAGCCCCTCCAAGCACTGCCAGCCTGACTGCTGTTATTCCCATGAGCTGCCTCCCTGTTCAACCATGATTTACACCAATCCCTCCCATGAAGCTTTGATTTTACCAAATTAGTAAATTAGAGAAGAGATATGGCTTTCATCTCACCGATATATAATCTAAAAACAACAACAGCAACAAAACTATCCAAAACCCTTACAGCCAACAAATATATGTTTTCTACTTAGGCAAAAATAAAGGGAGTAGTGAGACAGTCCCCAATTCCATCAACTGGGGAAATAAAGAGAATCGTTCATTGACTGTCAAGAAGTTGGTTAAAGGAAAATAGAACACAGAGGAGTCTGAGTCACTGGGTATGCCGTTATTTTGTCTTTGTTTTTTTTTTTTTTTTAAGGACATTAACATCTTTCCTATCAGTTATTTTTAAATTTAGGTCTGATTGAGACTCTTTGAGTTGTGATACAGCATCTAATAGTTCCTTTGGGCGTCTGTCCTCCCACCCCAACTCTCAAAACATAAGATCATATAAAAGTGCTTAATAAACGCTTGCTGATCTAACAGCCAATTCTGCTTGAAAATGTGTCTCCCAGCTGTGGTCCAGCATTCATCAGGGACCCAAGAAATCTGTAAGCACAGAATAGTTGAACCGGAAGAGACCTTAGAAATTGCTTTACCCCACTCCTTGATTTTACTCCAAAGGGTATGCACAAGCGGAATGAGAGAATCCTGCCTGGAGCACATGGTTGGTTAAGACAGAGACAGACCAGGAACCCAGGCCCTCTCCCTCCCAGGCCAGTGTGCTCCTCTCTCAGCTCTTTGCTGATAGAGAGAGATCAGGAAGCCCATTAAAAACATACTCCATTAGCAAACCCAGGAAATCTCATCAGTTCTGGAAAGCAGGGGCCTTCGAGCACAACCCTGGAGAGAATGAGTACTCACTACTTTGTTAGCACCGTCATAACATCTAATTTTTAAACTACATAGTTTTTCTCTATTAGAACCCTGCAAAGACAGGTCAAGCCTTGCTGAAATTACCTCAGGCTTTGCACAGTCTCTTATCCCAGGGGAAGAAAAAGAAAGAAAACTGACATTGGCTTAGGACCTACTGTACACCCGGTGTTTTTGCCTCATTTAGTCTTCGCAGTAAATCTGTGAGGCAGGTCATATTTTTCCCCTTCTCTTTTTTTAGATGAGTAAATAAAAGCTCAGAGAAGTTAGGTGACTTGCCCCCAGTCACACAGCAAGTAAGTGGCTGAGCTGAGTTTCAAAAATAAGTCATCTGATGCCTCCTTTGAGGCCCTTCCTACTAGCTCAAAGATCCTAAAGAAACATGGAATCTAAAGCTTTTTTCTTCGGAAGAAGGTGAGTTTAGTAGGAAGAGCTTTGGGTTTGCTAGTCAGGAGACCTAGACTGTGGCTTTTCACAGGTAGACCCCTGGTTGTCTAGTTAAGCACATTGCTGGCATTAGCAATTGTTCAATTAACATTTGTTGGATAAAATAATTATATATCTGACAAATGACTCATATGCGGGACACACACACACACACACACACACACACACACACACCCCTGAAACTCAATAATAAGGAGATAAACAATTCTCCTTTTTAAAAGTACACAAAAGATTTTAACAGACAGTTCACCAAAAGCCAATGCAAATGGCCCATGGAAAAAGTTGTCAACATCAGCCAACCACCAGAGAAATGCAAATTGAAATGATGGTGAACTACCGTTATACACTTACCAATTCAAAAATGTAAAAGGCTGACAACAGAAAGTACTGATGAGTATGTGGAACAACCGAAATTCTACACTGTTCACGAGAAGACAAAATGATACTGCCACTTTGGAAAAAAGTCTGCAAGTTGCTTATAAAACCAAATATACATCAGCCTCAAGACCCGATGATTCCATTCCTGGGTATTTACCCAAGAGAAATGAAAACACACCTCCTCAGAAAGACTTGTACAAAAATGTTCTTAGCACTGTTTTTTTTAATCACCCAAAACTGGAAACAACCCAAATATTTATCAACAGTAGGATGGATGACCAAATTGTAACACATACATACAAGGGATACTATTCTACAAGAAAAAGGAAGGAACTCTTGATACATGCAATATGAATTAATCTCTAAAACATTAGGTTGAGTTAAAGAAGCATTGCTCAAAAAGGAATATAATAAATCATTCCATTTATATGAAGTTCTAGGATAAGCAAATTTAATTTATGGTGCAGAAAATCAGAACAGTGGTTGCCTGAAAGCTGAAGGCAGGAATTAACTGAGAAGGGACACAAAGGAGCTTTCTGGAGTGACGGCATATTTGGTATCTTGATAAGGATCTGGGCTTCACAGCAGTATGCTTTTACCAATGATACGATATGCACGCCGAAGTGTTTAGGGCCGAATTGCATGGATGTCCTAACTTACTTTGAAGAACACCGAAAATTAGATGGATTCATAGATAAATAAGGGTTGCATTGATGGGCAGATACACGATAAAGCAAAGAAAACAAAATGCAAATTGTAGAATCCAAGTGGTAGGTATATGAGCGTTCACAGTGCAACTTTTCTGTATTTTAAAATTTTTATAGACAATTTTGGGCAGAAAAAAATGAATAAAACTTGGATTCCACAGTTGGCTTGGCACACGTGCCCTCCAAGGACCCAATGTGGACTCTCCTGCCCACCTCTGCAGCCTCATTTCTCACCAGCCCACACCTGGCGCTCCATATTCCGGCCACAAGGACGTGCCTCACTTCCTCAAACCCACCATGTATGTACCACCTCAGGCCACAGGATCTTTGCATAGCCTATCTCCTCTGGGAGGCTCTCCCTTCCTTTTTCTCCCAGATAATGCTTCAGACTTCAGACTTTGGTTCAAATAGTCTTTCTCTGGGTACCTTCTCTCTCCGTTCCCCACCACCACAAGCTTAGGTCCATTGCTTTAGTTCCTGAAGAAACATGTTTCTTTCTGTCATAGTACTTGCTGCTCAGCTCAGTGGGATTGAGCCCCAATTACCCACAACAGTAACCTGCTCCCTATACTGGCTTCCTGTGTGACTGTCTTGTTTAGAGTCACAGCCTCCATGAGACTGGCAGCTCCATGGTGGCCGGACTGTGATCATTTGGGCTCACCAAGGCACATCCACCCCCAGCACAGTGTTGGCCATAACTGCACCCATGTAGTATCTGCAGAATGAATGAATATTCCTAACTAGCCTGTAGCCCTAGGGACACAGTCCTCTCTGGTCCATTTCCTCAGCTATCAAATGAGAAAATTGGTGAGGAGCAGCCTTCCTCTTTTTTTGGGCGCAAGACCAATTCAGAACAAATATTCCGAAACTGCGTGTGTAATTCAAAATGAAAACAACTTTAATGAATCTTACAGAAAATATAATGTATGTTCCTTCCACTAAGATTATCCACTTTCTCAAATAAAAGAATTTCAATGAGAAAATTGGTGCTGCCTTTTAGCCATTAAATGATCCCATCTGGGCATTCTGAAAAGCAGCAACAAGAATAAGAGGCAGCTTTCTTTCACCCCTTAAGATTCACAGGGTGTTAGAATCACAAAGCCCATTCACATCTGTTATCTCATTTCATCTTCTATGTAGGTGATGTATTTGTAGATGATGAAAGTGTGGCTCAGAGAGGTAAAGTGACTTGCCCCAAATCACACAGCAAGCTGATGAGAGAATACACTTTACTTAATTAACTCAATCTAATGAAGTAATTTCTGGGCGCTTACCCATCTGTCCTGTGTGTGGCACTATGCCGGGTGCTGGGACAATAGTGACAGTAAGACACAGCTTCCTGCTCCTTCCCAGTTTGAAGTCCTCCTCTTGGCTGTAGGATCTTCTCTCTGGAAAGAGCAAAGAGAACCAATCAACCCAGGTTTCTTGGTCTGAGTTCCCCAGCAGCAGAGTCAGAGACAATGATGTCAGGACAGTTGATTTGGGAGGTCACCCCAAAAAGTACCTATAGGGAAGAAAGAAAATAAAGAAAAGGAAGCCAATACGGGGGGCAGATTACTGCTGTGGGTAACTGGGGCTCAATCCCACTGGGAATGTCTCAGAGACTGTGCAGAACACATTTCAGAGTTGGCTATTTATTACTGTTTGGGAGCTACTCCTCAGGGTAATTCCCTGCCATTTCTGTCCTGCGGGAGGGCACACGTGTGCTCCAGTAACCAGAGAAAGCCCTCAGCCAGCACGCACAGGAGCTTTCACAAAGGAGCCATCATTTCCTTTGGAAATAGAATTCAAAAGGGCACCCTAAGAGGACATAGGAGGGTTTCAGATGTAACTGCTGGATCAGGACAGTGCGAAACCCCCAGAATCCTGGAGGGCCCCACTGTGGGTGCCGCTACTGTATGCTGCTCAGTCCCCGCTGCTGCGGCAATGGGTCTAGGCACCAGCCCTGGTGGACTGAGCCTCTCAGCCTGGCTTCTGAGGGACCCCATCACCAGTCTCATTTTTAGGCAGCATTAACAAGTCTGCATCAAACCAATTCAAAAAGTCTCCTTCCTGCCTCTGAGCTGGTTGCCCTGGGGGCTTTTCTCTCAAATCCTGCTATTCCTTGGGAACCGAAGGGCTGTTGAGGTGTTTGGGGGAAATAAAACTGCCATGGCTCTTCGGCAGCATTGAGGCGATCCCTGTGAGAGAACCTTGCATGACGCCCGGTGCCCATTCTCTCCTTGTTTTTAGCATCGCTCAAGTTTCAGCAGAGCTCGTAGCTTCCCTGAAACAGACTACATTTCCAAGGTGCCCCGGCAATGTGACTGAGTTCTGGCCAATGGGATGTGAGTGAAAGTGCGTGCAGAAGCAACCTCCAGGGCATATCTTTAAAAAAAGAAAAAGGAGAATACTCTTTACTCTTTCCTGACCTCCCACCAGCTGGAGATTGGCCACCCCTGGAGCAGCCCTCATGCAGCCTGCAGTGGAACACCTGTGCTCACAGTGGCAGAGCAGCACCCCCAGTGTGGGGTGACTGCCCACCTGCCTCTGGCTTATCGCAAAAGAGAGTGGTAAGCTCCCCAGTATGTCAGCCACCGTCTGAGTCACTATTACCTGTTTTCTAACTCAGCTGTCCTAAAGGACCCTACCCACGCTAAAGGCAGCTATACCCCAGGTGGGACCACTTCACCCAGACTCACCCCGCCCCCACCTCCCGAAGCAAGCCCAGCAGGTCCTAATGCCATTGCTTCAATTCCCAGTGTGCTCTTGATTTACCCTTCCCCAGCCCCCAACACCCCAGAGGGTGGCGCAGCTTTGCCCTGTGAAGATCCTGATTCTGGGCTCCTGGAAACCTATCATCTGATCATCTTCAGGGCCTTTCAGTGAGCAGAAACCAGAGATGACTGGGCTGGTGTGCTGCGGTGAGGCCAGGAAGGCAAAGGAGGTTGGAGGGCAGGGAGAGCAAAGCGCTCCTCCATGGCACCTCCGCATGGAAAAGGGATGAGTTTGCAGCAAGAGGGATAGAGGAAAGCTGATCAGACCTAAACAGAGATCTCTTAAGAGTGGGGATCAGGTAAGCGCAGTTGGATCTACCTGGATTTAGAGTGCTCCTCCCTGAGCACTATGCCGGGTGCTGGGACTCAGTCTGCCCACACAGCCTTATGTCTCAAGAGAGGGGACAGAATTAGGTGGCCTCCAAATGGCTTTTGCTCCAAAGTTCTGGAATATACCAAGTAAGAATGGGTGAAGATGCCACAGGTCGGGGAGCTGCTGAAGAGCAGGAATCATGTCTACTCCCCCTCTATCCCCACATTTAGCATCACACTAGAATCTAGAGGGTCTCCAAAAATACTTTCTGAACAAATCCATAAATGAATGAGTGAAAAACATCCTTTAGAGAGGTTCTGATAGTCCACATGCAACACTTGTTTTCTGTTCCATCTTTTTGGAAGATTCCACAGCAAAATGGAGACACTGGGCCTTGCCTGTCTCTCTCCCCAGACCTGTGGGCTCCTCTCTGTTAGGGCACTTAGAGCAGCTTACAGCGAAAACCATTACCTATCTGTCTCCCAAATAAGGCTGGTGGTCCTGAACAAAAAAAAAACTGTCTTATTTTTTTAGGGGAATCCCTCAGTATTATGGCTACTTGATACAGAAGTAAAATCTGAATTCAATAAATACTTGTTAAATGAACAAATAGGTAAATCAGTCAACTCAGTTGCCCGTTGAAAACTGACACTATCAAACATATCTCCCAATCAGAAAGTCATTGAGCTTAAGAACACCATCTCTAAAGCAGAATAGACTCTCCCCTCTTATAGGAAGTCCCAAGACAGCCTGGCTTTCTCTTCCCTCAGACTGGGGCTCCCTGAGGATGAAGCTGTGTCTTCCCCCAACAGACTGGGGCTCCCTGAGGACAGGGCTGTGTCTCCCTCAGACTGGGGCTCCCTGAGGATGGAGCTGTGTCTCCCCCATCAGACTGGGGCTCCATGAGGACGGGGCTGTGTCTCCCCTCAGGCTGAGGCTCCGTGAGGACGGGGCTGCGTCTCCCCTCAGGCTGAGACTCCCTGAGGACGGGGCTCTGCTGGCTCCCAACCCGAACTGGGTGCCCTCCTGCACAGCCTCACATCTCTAAGGTCCTTCCTCATCATAAGCTTCTTCTGTTGATGAGCTTTAGAAATGCCCTACCCATGTCATGCTCATCAGCATTTTTAATGTTTCAATTTATCAAATGTGTTGAGGATTCATAAACGCAGGGAGGAAAAAATGAGAAAGAAAAAAATAAAACAAGGAAATAAAGGCCAAGTTGTGGCTAAGTTCATTCCAGCAGGCAGCCCTCAGCCTCGAGGGAAAACTCTAACGCATGCACAAATACCTCATGAATAATTATTTCTGAGTGGCTCAATATTTTAAATGCTGGATATTTTTTCCCTCCTCAGAAGCGTGCTGCAACTATTTATTGCAATGCAGAAGCCAGATGGAAGGTGATTAAGTTTGATTTCCGAGGGATGAGCAGATAGGAAAATAGGGTGGAGGTTGTGAGCAGACGTGGGTGGGTTTCACAGGGCAGCAGGCAGATGAGGCCCCTAGGCCAGCATCTTATGGCAGAAAAGAAAGGTGACCGTCCAGCAAAGAAGGCTGTGTGGGTCGCATATCTTCTTCCCCTAAGGAGCTTCGAGTTCGGTGCTTCTGTCCTCCCCAGCTGTGATATCTACAGGCAAGTAGCTGTGATGTGGGAAGGCTATGAAGTCAGCTGTTTAACCCATGGTTAATGTCAGGGCTCTGAGGAGATTAAACACAGAAGATCTTTAGGTCTATGGGATGAGACAGCTGTCCTCTCACCAAATCAGGAGTGAAAGTACCCCAACTTCTCCTTTAGGGGGTGGTTCATTTATCTTCCCAATAGTCCATGGGCTGGTGGTTCATGCATTGGCTAATTCATACGAAGATCCTAACCAGTTATTTGGTACTTTCTTCTTGGTTTACTTTATGCTGTGACCACCCTGAGAAACTGGAAGGACAGGTGCTGTGATTCCCATTTCATGCTTAAGGGGATGGAGGCTCAGGGCAGCAAGTGACTGGTCCACAGTCTTCCATTCTCTGAAAGATGAGGCACATACAAAGGCCACGGGTGTCTGGACTCCTGTTACACTGTCACTGGCCTGGCTGTTAGGTACCTCCACAGTGAGACGCTTTAGTGAGGAGACACAGAGCATGTGAAATTGGATAGCACACCCGTCCTACAGGTGCACATAGGCACCATCACCTCAGCCACCCGCCTCCACCTACTCTGCTCCTCTCCTCCCAGTGCCATCTTTTATGTGCACTTCCCCTGGGTCCTTGGTTCTATTAGCCTCACTCTGGCCCATATGGCAGCCTGAGCATGGTTGCTGCAGGGATGAACATCTGGGCTCCTCAATGAACTGCTTGGGGCCAGATGTCATGTCTTAGGCTTCTCATATATATTCTTCACAGGGCCTAGAGCAATGCTGGGCACAGGGCAGAGTGAAATGGAATGGCAGCTCTCGTCATCATGTCAATGGCTAACATTTACAGAGCACTCATTTTGTTCCAGGCACTGCTGGAAAAGGTTTACGTATATTAACTCATTTTATCCTCCCAGCAACCCCATTAGATGGGTGTCATTATCCCCATTCTCATTGTACACATAGGGGTGCAGAGGCGTGGAGAGATGTAGTAAATTTTCCATATAGCAAGTAAGTGACCAAGGCCAGATTTAAGCCCAGGCCACTTGGCTTTGTGGCCCTCACTCCTAAACACAACACTATACTGCCTTTCAGCATGAGACCCCTACCTGTGTGTTTATCTCTGCAATGGCCCACTGATTCATTCATTCATCCTTAAATTTGCTGCCATTTACCAAGAACCTGCCGAGCCCAGGGCACTGTGCTCATGCTCTATAGGCACCTCTCACTCTCACATCCACATTGCAGAGTTAACTTTGTATGATATCCATTTTACGGTTGAGAGAGGTGAGGTTGCTTTCCCAGGGTTGCATGGCAGGTGAGCAGGAAGGCTGGGATTTCCACCCAGGTCTGGTCTGGAAGTGTCCAAAGCCTGAGCTGTTTCCCCCGAGTTACATTGCATCCACCTTCCTTCACCAAACTTGGTTCAACCTAGAACCCAGCATGGAAGGAGGTGCCAGCAGGTGGAGACCAAGGCCTCTGGAGCCACTGGAAATGGAAATGGTGATAATGAAGATGAATCTGGGCACACCACCATGGCCTCTGCTGCTCCCTACCATATGGCCACTCTAAGCTGACCCCCAGTGATGGCCATTTTCCAGCACATATGGGAATCAAACAAGATAATATATGTGGCAAGGTCACAGATGTACTCACAGCACACTCAGATGTGCAGAGAAGGCATTTTTCTTTATTTTCTGTTAGCTGTTTGGAGTGTGTGCCCCTAGTCTGTGGGTAATGGGGGAGAGGCAACTATATTTTAGCCCAATCCAGTCATCTAAGTTCAATTCAATGATTTAAACAGTCTTTTAAAGAAACCACTCGGTTTCTTGGGGGTAAAATGCTGATCTTTCTTTCCCTCCTGCCCTCCAGGTGGCACTTTTGTGGATGGCGAGAGGCTGGTGGGGCACTGGAGGGAAGGGCACATGTGGCCTCAAGCAGTCCTTGGGTGTGTGTGGGTTGGTGCCCAGCAAGATGAGGGTGGGTGGTCTATCTCTGAGTGTTCAGTAGGCCCTCCACTGCTGGTGGGCAAGGCTGATAACCCCCTGGCATGTTCTTTTTTAGCTCTGTCAGGGCAGGGCTGCCCTGGAACTCCCATATGGAACAGGTCCCGTTCTGCCTCTTCATGATGCTGAAGATACTCTGAGGTCCTGGCCTACAGCCCTCTCTGAACTCTCTGGGAAACTCTCAAACTAGAATTACCTCACTTCAGGCTGGCACAAACTTCTGGGCTTAAACACCAAGAGGTACTTGGAGACCCAAACTCAGGCCTTCTCTCCACTAACTGTACACATTGCTCAGTCTGCTTCAGTGCAGCCACCTCACACTATGGTAGGAGCAGCCTGGGAAGCCAATGACCTGCCTGAGTTCTAAAAGAGATGGGGACAGAATCCTCTCTACTCTGGTGTTTTCTCCATTAATACAGGATAACTTCCTCTTTGGGGAGTTTAGCCTGGTGAAAGACCAGGGCAGGTCTCATTGCCTCCCTCCTCATCTCCAGCTTCCTTCTTTCCCTTACAGGCCTCCAGACTGGAATGAATGAGTAATGGGATGTTCCCTATGGAAAGCTCCATGAGCAAGTCCTCTAGGCCTGATAGCACGTATGCAACACTTACTCTGTGCCTGTCTCAAAACTACTTTATAAGGGAGATCTGAGATATCCTCTGGCTGCAGAAGAAAGGCTAAGTCATAGAGAAGTTATTTGACCAGTGAATGAGCCAGGATTTGAGCCCCACTGGATTCACCAGGGTCTTCTAGACCCACTCCATGGAGTCTTTGTTCCAAGCAGGA